AAAATAGTATTATTTCTTTTTTTGATTTCCAGCTTAACTCATTTGATCAAGATAATATAAGTGAGTATTCGCCAAAGTGCTTCATTTTAAAACTACAATATTTTGTACAATTATATCTCACTATTTAATATATCATCTATATACTTCAGAAATAAAGGATTCAGCCAGACTCCTTCTCGCTTTGACAACCTAAAAATAAAAATAAAAAAACTTACCAATAAATTATGATAACTATTTTATAAAAAATTTGCTTTGTAAGTCATCGATGCATTTGCTTTTGTTTTTTTATATTGCTTTATGTCGTTTTTTTATTGTTTAAGAATAATAGTGAATAACTAAATTCCTTAACATGCCTAACCATGCTACGCTTTCAATATTTCTCTGCCTTCCGATTTGATATTAAAATAAAGGAGCTTTGAAAAAGAAGTTAATTGTACTTTGTAGCACTCTCGCCACTTTGAAGTGACAATGTTACTACAATTCTTTGCCTGATTTATCTAAATCGTGAAAGACACTTATATATTACTTCCATTATTATTAAGTAGTAAGCTAAACAATAATATTACACAAAAAAAAATTGTTACTAGAACCATAAAAAACAATCATCATTCAGGCAATACAAATAGTTTTCACTGTACAAGGAAAAGATTAATGACTATGATGCGCTAAACTATTATATTTTTATTTTTATTATTTATTTAAATGGTAAACAATTCTACGGCTATTTAAATATTAAACAAATTATTTGTATTTGAAATGTTATAATTTAATATTTTGGTAAATGAAATATTTCACAATTTTCTTGTAATAATGCTATTGCAAAAATTTTTTAGGATCTCAATATTAAATATTACAATTTCCGTGAATTGAAAATAATTAACTTTTCTATAAATTGAATTTTTTTGTAACTTTTCTTTGTACATTCGATATTTTTGCAAAATTTTTCGTTTCGCATCCACTCCACTGTAAATGTGCAATTTGGTATCATCTGAGAGTAATTCAAAGAACTCTTGGAAATTTTTCAATGGTTTAGGATACCTGTTTTAGGGTTAACATATCTGTCTTGGGTCAAATATATGAAAATATGAGTAATTTTATGTATACACATCTAAATATTTTTAAAATAATTATCTTGTTAATTGAAATGAAAACCACGCAAAATTTCATTTACAAATTAAACAATAATGACTTTTTAATTTAATATAAATGAAATAGTTTGTTTTAACATATCTGTTTCTCAATTGAAATAAGAGATTCAGCTGAAATAAGAGAAGCACTGCATATTATTTATATTTTTTGTTAACAGAAATATTTGCCTTTTTTAACTTTAAATTTATTGTTAATTTTTTATAGCAATGCCGGTAAGTTTTTATATTAGTTTGGGGAAAACGAAATCCATTATTTTTTCGGTAGATGGCTGCACTGATAGATTTCTTGTAAAGTATCGATCAAACAATTTCATATTTATGCTCGTTGGAAAGGTGACATTTCGCAGTAAAAAAAATTCTTTTGCTGTTTTTTGTTTGGTGCATTCAGTTGTGAATTACAGCGTGTTAAAAATGGAAGTGAACAAAGAGAAAATTCGGTACATTTTCCAGTTTTTCTTTGACAAAGGCGAAAATGCAAGCCAGGCGGCTAAAATTGTGAATGGTGTTTATGGTTCCGATACTGTAACAGCCAATTATGTGCAATTTGGGTTTCGTAGATTCCGTTCAGGAATTTTTGATGTTAAAGATGCACCTCGCACAGGTAGGCCGGTCGTCGAAAATGTCGATAAAATCGGAGAAATGATCGAAGTTGACCGGCATGTTAGCAGTCGTCGAGCTAAAAATCGACCATAAAACAGTTTTAAACCATTTACACAAAGCTGGATTCAAAAAGAAGCTCGATGTTTGGGTGCCACACCAATTAACAGAAAAAAACATGATGGATCGAATTTCCATCTGCGAAGCCTTGGCCAAACGGAATGAGATAGACCCATTTCTTAAACGGATGGTGATTGGAGATGAGAAATGGATCACATACGATAACCCTGTGCGAAAACGATCGTGGTCAAAGAGCGGTGAAGCACCTCAAACGGTGGTCAAACCAGGACTAACGGCCAGGAAAGTTTTGCTATGCATTTGGTGGGACTGGAAGGGGATTATTTATTATGAGTTGCTTCCATATGGCCGAACGCTAAATTCTGATCTCTAGAATTGGCCAACAGGAGAGGTGTCGTGTTCCACCAGGACAACGCTAGGCCACACACATCTACGGTGACAGAAACTTCGGGAGCTTGGTTGGGAAGTTTTAATGCATCCGCCATACAATCCGGACTTGGCACCAAGCGATTATCATCTTTTTCTTGCATTGCAAAATTTCTTTAATGATAAAAAATTGGAATCTTGGGAGGATTGTGAAAATCGATTACTAGAGTTTTTTGCAAATAGAGACCAGGACTTCTATGAGAGAGGCATTTTGAAGTTACCTTTAAAATGTTAACAAATCATACAACAAAACGGTGCATATTTGACCCAAATCGGACAATCCGAAGCATGTTAAATAAAGTCCTGAAGTTCATATAAAAATAATGGATTTCTTGTTCACCAACCCAATATATGCTTGCATATGAAATTAAGGTAAATAAAAAATTTTTAAGTAATTATTTTTGAATAAATACATAAAAACCAATTGTTTATTATGTGCTTTTATAATAAAGTCCGAAGTGGATCGGGTCTTGATATATATAACGTTGTACATAACTGAATGCTTAAAGAAGCTGCAAAGGTGTGCCAATAAGAATCAAGGTCAACAAGAAATGTATAGTTTAGCAATATCGAAATTCGATATCCCTGGTGAAGCTGGATTTCCCTTAAATGCATTCGTAAAGAAACAAACTCTTTATCGATACAAATGATCAGCCTGCAAATTGAAGGCTATTTCAGATTCCCACTTGTCACCGTTGTTGAGCAACTTCTCTTTATTGTACAATAGCTCTTCATGTGTTTCCGTAGAGAATTCAAAATTCGGACCTCGTACCATAGCGTCTACAGGACATGTTTCCTAAATACATAAATAAATAAATAAAATCTTATGAAAAGACTTAATTTATATTGTCGAACAAACTTGGCAAAAGCCGCAATAGATGCACTTGGTCATATCAATATCATAGCGTGTGGTACGACGACTTCCATCAGCTCGCTCCTCAGCTTCTATAGTTATAGCCTGTGCCGGACATATGGCTTCACATAATTTACAAGCGATGCAACGTTCCTCACCGCTGGGATAACGGCGCAAAGCATGTTCGCCATGGAAACGTCGTGACAAAGGTCCCTTTTCCAAAGGATAATTAATAGTTGCCGGCTCTTTAAAGTTGTGAGCCAATGTGACAGTACTTGCTGCTCTATCCGTTAAATCCTTGGATTCCATACTTCTCTTTATTGTTTACATATATATATAGCCCTTGGGTACCTCAACAATATCCTTTCCTTTGCCGTGCGAATCCATTAAACGATTTGCGGTAGCAAACCAACGTTGGCCTGCATAACAGAAATACCGATTGATTAATATCAAATTAACATGTAAGGATGGATGAATTTTACTTATAAGGGGTTTTTTTTATACTCCAATTTTTGACTATCATTTCTTGTTCAATTTGTATAATAGTTTTTGTGTAAATTTCAGATGAAATTTATTTGCGTTGTTTTGTTTTATTTTTTTTTTCGTTTTTTTGTTGATGACATAACCATAACCTCAACTCTAAACTTTGATAGACTGTATTCTTCTAATCAGCCACTACAATTCGTATGAATTTTGTACACTTTTTCACTTACCATTGCGTGAAGCTGTAAATAATTTTACAGGTAGGGCCATAATTTTTTAATAATTCAATATTATTATCGGTTTTTTTTTATTTTTCGTAAACACTGCACAGAAAGATTAAAAATTATAATGAAACGTAACATTTTACTTAGAGAGCTGCTTTGCAAGATAACAATTTAAATGAATGAAAAAGTTAACAGCGCTCTGTTAAGAAAAAGCAAAGTGAAAAAGGAAATTAAATAAAACATATTTTCAAAATTGTGTCTTTTTTTAAATTTTTAAATGAAGAATATCAAAACATTAATCAAACGTAGTTTAATTACGAAACACAAAAATATATTAAAATAAATAATTAAGATAATAATTATATACCAAAACTAACCCTAACTTTACTAAGGCTCGAAAAAGAATTTACATTTATATCCGGCCATTTTTACATATCATAGCGAATTTTCGGTTGTTGTTTTGCTGAATAAAAGAAGAAGAAGAAGAACCAGAAGAGAAATATAATTTTTGCATTGTATTTTTTATATATACTTGTATATTTATATATACTATGAAAATTGCTATATATGAATATGGGATATCGGCTCGAATTTTATCGAAATGTTTCGCCAAGTTCAAGTAATGCATATCTGTATATATAGAATTCTGTTTAATATATTTCATATACTTATTATGCCTTCCTTTTTTTATTATTACATTGTTAAAGGAGACAGTTGAATGCAAAATTATTATTTAATTATTATTATTTAAATAAGTTTTTAACTTTATTTACTTTTGCAAGAAATTATCATAGAAAGAATTGATGGAGTCGAAGTTTTCCTCTCGTGTTATATGTTAGTAGATGTTTGCAAAAATTTTGATCAGCGACTTCTATAGGTAAAAATAGTGAGGAAATAGGAAATAGCAGGGTACACAACGCGTGATTTCGATGGTTTTGACCTTCCTCCACTTAAAATAATAGTTTTCCATTTAATGTCATTGATATATTCAACGTACTAAATTCATTACTTTTGTTGTTTAGTTTAAGAAATCTGCTACCAACCAAACATCTTCATAGGCTTATGGTAATGCTGCTCCATCAAATCCCAATTGTCGATTTAGGTTTTAACGCTTTAAAAGTAGCGACTTGATTTGAATGAAAATGCTGAACTCAAACGCACGATAACGCCATGTTGGCAGAAATATGCTGAAATCAAACGCACGATAACGCTATGTTGGCAGAAATATGGAAAATATTTTGAATTTTTCTCTATAAATGGGTTTTCAAGTGAAAAAGTTATCAAAATTTTTTCAAACACCTAATATCATCGCTCGATTAGATATTCATCGTGAACATTTATCAGAATCGAGAAAATCTATATTTCTCTTGTGTGAAAAATATTTAAAATTAGCTTCAAGAAGCTTAACAACCATTAAGAAGCTTTGAATTGTATTTTTTCTTCGAATCCATTTGACTTTCCATGGAAACTGTTTCTCTTTCTTACACTTTAATATTTTAATTTATTTTATCGCTTTATTTTTGTCTAAGGATTTTAATGAATTTGTCTGACGATTATATATTAAACAACAGTTTTCCTTTACTTAATTCTTTTTTTGTATTAAATTTCAATAATTTTATTACTTTATTTATATGTTTGAAAAATTAATTAAAGTTTTTTCTGGCAAAAAGTGGAATGAACCGAAAACGAATATTACAAACCTTTTTTTTGCCAAATGTCATAGTTTGTCGTTAAAGTTGATTTCACAGCTGTAAAATAATAACATCCCTGTTACTTGTTGCAGTTTTGCAGCCACTATCATGATGGTTCGCTAATAGTACATAAGAAACGAGTAATCTTTATGTAACGAGTACTCGAAAAAATGGAATTTCAGCCGCAAACCGGTCGTGTAATTTTTATTAATTTTTCTTAATTTTAAATTGTTGATTTCCATAAGAAATTCTTACCAAAATAAAAGTTAAACGGTAAACATTAAACGTCAAAAAAAGTTGATAAAAATATCGCATCAAATAACTGCAAAAGATTTATGGAAAAAAAAAGATTTCACTTTGTACAAGTAAAGTAGAAAAAAAAGAAGAAAAAATTGCGACTTGCGTGGAAGTGGATTGAAGAAAATACATCAGAAATCTCAGAAAAATTCCAAAGCGTCAATGAAACAATTTATCATTTTTAAAGCACCTTTCTATATAAAAACGCTTCTAAAAGCAAAAGTCGTACAAAAATTTCTTAAACATTACTATTGAAAACTTGACGTTTTTTTTAGTTGACATCATTACTTGTTAAAAAAATAAAATAAAAAAAAAAGTAAAAAAATCAATGTGTTTACTTCAAGATGAATTAAGAGGAAAAAACTAATTTTCCAGTTTTATTAGCTTAAAATTACGTACACACACATGCACATACACACACAACAATAGAAATTAAAGCTTTTTTTATTTAGTGAAAAAGTTTATTAGAAGAAGGGGAGAAAAAGAAGAAAAAACGAAATATACGTAAAGTTATTGCCACAACCCGGGGTCTGGCATTCAACTAACAAACTATGTAAGTGTTTAATATGTTTTTCTTTTTTTTTTTTGTTTTGTAAAAAAAGTTTATATATTTAACAAAAATAAAAAGTGTTTTTTTTTCATTTATAATTAATCAATGGCGACTTCTCCACTCGTTAGTAGTTATCTTGCCTTGGTGTTTCTCTATGTGTGTTACATTTTCTCAATGCAATTGCTGGTATTGCGACAGTTTATTTTTACAAAATTTGTGTAACGTTACCTAATCATAACAGTTATTGCTGCTACTGCTGCTATTGCTGCTGTTGTCTGTTATCTAATTTTACATTTCTTTGATAACTGGAGTAATATTCTATTTTCTTCTCTTCTAATCCTTTTGTTCATTTAATTAAAGTTGACGTATATTGTTCTCTGTCATGAATGATTGTCAGAACGAACGAATGAATGAATGAATGTACGCATGTATGTCTGCATGAAAGAATGATATAAAACTTATTTGTCATTAGGGGATTTTCAATGTTTTGATTTGTTGATGTTCTGTCGTGTCTTCCCTAGTTTTCATATTAATCATTCACTGCATGTTTTCCTTTCTAGAATATAGGCGACAGTATGCAACATTATGCGCTTAACATTATATTAACACTACCAAGTGCAACACGACGTGACCTTCAGTGCAGCTTTGGAAAATATGTAAAAAATATATATTTGTTCATCTTTTGATATCTACAAACTTGTCTAACGTATGTTAAAAAATGTTGGGGGACGGTGTTAATTAGTTCTAAACATTAGTAGACGTGATAAGTTATCGAGTGAAAGAAATGACTCGATTCGACGAGTCTTGGTAAATAGTTTACGTAGATCAAAAATTGAAATAAAAACATGCGAAAACAATATGGTGGGACAAGACTTACCTTTAAAATACCCTACACCGCTCTTTTTCAAAATAAGGCTGTAAGTGATCAAAAAAGTGGTCTGATCCGAACTATTTTCAATACCGTTCATCTTTGCGGCGAAGGATGCGAATGTCCCAAATTTCATTAAAGTGCCTCAAAAATTGCTATCTATAGGTTGCGTAAAAAAAAACAGGAGAGGCAGACAGACAGAGGGACGGACGTATGGACGAGCAAAACTAAGTCGGTGCAAAAAGTGATTCTGAATCGGTCGGTATATTAATCAATGCGTGTTGCATACATCCGCACAAACTCATTGTTCGCTAATTGGTTGCACAAAGGAAAACAAGACGGATAGACAGACGTAAAAGATTGATTCAGAAAGCGATTCTAAATTAATAAAAGAGGCATCTGTCCCAAGTCCTTCCGGGTGTTGCATACATTCGGTCGAACTTGTACCATTGTTTAATAATGAACTGCTTAAGACTTCGAAAAAGGTTTGAAGAGACGGTAGAAAAGATAGTGTGAGAAGGATTTCAAACTCCTGGAATCTGGATATACCACGAGTTGAAGCCAATACGAATTGGATAGTAGATTAAGACAGCTTTAAACGCAAAAAGCCAGACCAAATATTACAACAGTAACGTATGCGAACTTTGACGGATCAACAGATTCCACTGGATGCAGCACTTAATCCATTTGTTATGATAACTCCAAGAACAAAAGACCCAAGCAAGCATTTGCTATATCATTCCAATCAATCGATAGCCACAATTAAAACCTTTAGTGGCTATTTCTTGATTCTGGCGGAATATTGTCCGTCGACAAATTCCTTGAAGATTAATTTTCTAACAGGTGCCTGGCTTTTAATATTTAATTTTCATGAACAGGCGCCTTATAATTGCAATAGTAGCATGTAGAGTGTCACTGAGTGTCATGAAAGCGCCTAGAAAGTTACAGAAGATAATGGCTTTCTTTCTATGACTTGGCATCAAAAAAATACTCTACTTTTGAAGGGATGATATTAGTTTGAGTTATATGCCAAAGAAACAAAACTTGGTGTTGAGATGCGATTTAATTTTTCTTGATTCGGTCGCAGAAAGTTCTTATTATCAGGAAAATGGATTGTTTAACGAATATGGGTCATCAACAAGCGCACCGTGATGATAAAGTTATAGTAGTGGCTATGATTCCATTCGATTGTAAGAAAATGTATACGACAGTCCTCAACTCACTACCCGTTAAAGTGAGTCCAAAACCGGCACCTATCGATTTTGCTCGATATCGACGACTACACACTCAAGAACTTCAGTTTATTCTTATTCTTGTGGTTCTCATTAGTTAACGACTAAAAATTTGCCGCACCGGTTCACAGATCCGTCCATAGCTGATAGAACAACGATAACACTGACCTCTTTTCCCAAATTACTATTAATTTAGCTAAAGAAATAAATTCTAAGACTAAAGTCTTAAAGTATTAGCATCTGAGGCTACCGCCTTTATTGAAAAGTCCACCGGGCGGGAGATTTGAACCCAAGATTAATTACTTCTTCAAAATTCTAAAGCTTGTGATTTAATCTTAAATTTTATGATAATAAGAGCAGGAGGGTAGTGATGTAATTGAAAGTTAGGTTTGGTTTTTGGATATAGCCGTTTGACAAAAACAGCTGAGAGCGAAAGCGAGACTTAAAAGCTCGACGTATTTATCATAACTTCATAAGCTTAGTTAGGACAGTTGTTGCCAAATTGTGTAAAAATATTAGTTAATATATATATGGTACACCATACATACGATATAACGTGATACATATTGCATGCATATCGAGAGCGAATCAACCTTGAGCGCTTTACCTTGAAATGAAAAAGCGTACATAACCTACTCATGGCTAACGAAAACATATATGTCTCGGGCCGAGTACAAACTTTTGTACCTTACCGCACTTGTGTCCAAGCGTATATTAACTTTGTGCGGATCTATACAATATGCAGAAAAAGTTGAGATACACCCGTCATTTATTATAAAGACCAATTCAGAATCACTTTTTGACTCGACTTAAAATTGTCCGTCCGTCTGTCTGCTTCTCTCGTTTCTTCGTGTTCAACCTATAGACCGAAATTTTTGAGATATTTTGATGAATTTTCGTACACTGACATATTTTGGCTGTTGAAAATGATTAAAATCGGACCGAATACAAACTTTTTTGCCCTACCCCACTTGTGATGCAAGGGTACATTAGGTTTGTGCGAATGTTCGCAATACGCTGAAGGACTTGCGTTATACTGATCGATTCGGAATCACATTTTTGTACCGACTTAAGTTTCCCGCCTGTCTGGCTGTGTGTCTCGTTTTCTTGCGTTCAATCTACAGGTCGCAATTTTGGGGATATTTTGATGAAATCTGCTAGACTGACATGTTTTGGCCCGAGGACGAACATTATTGAAAATGGTTAGAATCGAATGACTTTTTTGAAAACTTCCCATATGCAGACCTACTTTATGTAGTCGTTAGAAAAATAACTGTAGGTGGTGTAGATTATTTAATGGTGGTTCACGTACCTCTATTGCTTTCCCAATTTTTTTTTTGTTATTATTGATCTAACTGATGCGGTGAACTTGTTTTGAAATAATTTTCAAAAATTTCACATTCGTCTTTGCGCGGAGCATTTTACGCGTTCAAGCGTTGATTGAACGGAAATTCAATTAATTATTCAACCACATGTTTTAGAAATGAAAAATGAATTTTTAACAATTTCCGCTGTTTTTTTTTTATTGCTTTCTATCAAATTTAAATAACGTTTAATTCTAGACTGTTAAGTTGAATGAAAACTTATACAACAACAAATAGACTTATTTGCAGTGAAAGATTTATGGGCTGCTTATTTTCTTTTTCTTTTTTTTTTTGTTTATAATATTTATTCTTGACCTTATCATCACCGTACATTATTATTTAATAATAAATTGTTTATATATTTGTTGTTTTTATTGCAAAGTCAATAACTGTATAGAAGAGTGTATTGAAATTTATTTAATTATAATTTCATAAATAGATTTTAATATACTATACAATTTGATTTGATATAGATTTTTATTCAATTTCATATTGGCGTAGTAAAAATGAAGGCATAGTAACTTTGTGGACACATTTAGGGATATATATTTTTTTTTGGGTCAGAAGTCATTTAACCAAGTCTATGCACTTGTCGAAAGTGCAAAATTTCCAACAAAAGTTGAAAATTGATTATACACCGTCTCTTACATAGAAAGTGCGAAAGGTCTTACTGGCATGCCGGCGGTTCTCAATTCCTATCCTCGTGAGGTGATGCTTTAATTAAGTTTCACATGGGACCGCTACTCCAGTAAATGAACGATCGGCAAAGCCCTTTACATACCAAGCTGCGGCCATATCGTATCCCTCTTTCTGCGGATCTCCCTCTTGGACTGTTACCATCTTTATAGCATAAGTGCGTAGGCGATATTAGCTAAACGATTGGAAAAAAAAAATTTTCTTTGAAAAACTAAGTTTTCCAAATTAATAAAGATTCCATAAAATAAGCCCACAATGAATGAAAATGTTGGAAACAGATTAGTTCAGTTCGCTGTCGAAGAGAGAGTGCAAGTGATACTGTAGGATGTATGTATGATACCGGGACTTCTTAGTATGAAGGAATTCGGTCCCATTTACCAATACTCACTCAGGAAATGTTTGTAATGGTAGTCTGCAATATCTTATCCTTTATGCTGGTGTCAACATAGGTTATTCTTTCCACTCAATAATAGATGACCCACCATTTGCTGGAACGGTGCTTTTGATCTTTATGACGACTCCGAAATATGGATTCCCTCATTTTCCCGATATGAAATTCGAAAATTAATTGAGAAGTGGACAAAAGTTTTATCCAGATAGGGTTAATATTTTGATTAAATACATTTTCAAACAGAAAAACGGAACGAAGTGATTTTTACTTCCAGTATAATAGTTTCTATTTTAATCCCATGGATAGATTCTGTTGAGATCTTTTATGTGAATGAGTTGTAAGAAAATTGATTAAATCTTAAGAATGCGTTTTTCATACTGAAGGCGCTAGTCTGTTTATAAACGTCGTCTAAAAGGGCAATTTTTCTCCTACACATTCCAACGACTTTTTCAACATATTCCACCCATTTTTGCTGTCCTGCAAACGATTTCTCCTATTTTCAGGACCAACAGTCGCGCAGGAACTTCCAATGTTTCAAGCAAATTGACGTCGATAGCTTCATTTTTGCGGCGTGGAGATGATTTACAACAGACACTGCACAGATGGACAGTTGGTCATGCTTAAATCGATCCAGAATGTGAGGCTAATCAAGGACAAACGTACTTGGAGGGGTATCTGACGTTTCCTTTTGAGCATTGCAAATGTCATCATGTTTTATACCCCTCGGTGATGGGTATAAAACCCACCGCACGTAAGGGGGAACCCTCGGTTCGATTTGACTGAAGTAAAATGATCAGCTTTCAATACTTTTGGAATTTAGTTTAGCGTGAAAAAAAGTTATAAAATATATTATTATTTAGTCAATGTGTATTTAAATGTTCGACATACATTTGGTAACACGGATTTATAATCTCTCAAGGCGTTAAAGAAAAAAAAAGAAGCATTTGATGCGAAATTGATCTCAAAATATCTCTGAAATCGGATAAATATGGCTATAAAACGTATATAGTTTTAATAACAGTAGGACTGAGTAATCGTTTAGTCACTTTCTTGTTTCTCTCCAAGGATGATCATTTATTGTAGCGAAAATCGGAAAAGGCACCACTGCACACTACCGTGGCACATAGCCACCCACCTTTAAACACCTTATAAATATTAATACATTTCAATAAGGCGTTACATGAGAAGTTAATGTGCAAAAATTTGGATCGGCTTAGAACCATTTTTCTAATTACCCTTCCATATGAAAGTTCAGGCAATAATAAAATATAATTTTTTAGTATTTTATAATAAAACCAAGTAAAAACGCTATACTGGGCCACAGTCCGCCAATAGAAATCCTACACCACCTACATTTATTCATATTACGAGTTTTCAAAGTAAGGCTTGCACACATCCGCACAAACTTAATCTCATACACTTATATCACAAGTGGTATAGGCCAACTCTTTGTATTTCCTTCTAGCAATTTTTTTAGTCAAAAAGACTAGATTACTTAAGAAGAAGGTTTTTAATAGCTTTCGTCCCCGAGAGAAGACAGACAAGGCAAGCTTAGATTTATAAAAACAAAAAAAATGGGTCCATCGTAAATTCTTCTGGATGTTACAAACATTCGCACAAACTTAATCTTGTACTGTTGTGCCGCAAGTAGTACAGTCCAACTTTTTGTATTGCCTCCTCGATGGTCCTAATAATTTAGTTTAGCTAAAAAGACGACTGCTTAGTAGGAGGGAAGAGCCTTTTGAACACACTGTTTATGTCAACAAAGTTTCAATAGACACTTAGGAAATTTTTGGTTACCCGTTGCTACCTGCCCGCAATTACTTGCATGCTTATAAAACATTTAATTAACCTAGTTTTGAAATATAAAAAAATTAAACATCTTTTCATTTTTAGAAAAATATATATAAAACATTTAATTAACCTAGTTTTGAAATATAAAAAAACTAAAAATCTTTTCATTTTTAGAAAAATATAGTAGGAATCGTTGCCTTAATTTGTTTTTTTTTTTGTAATTTGTTTTTTGATTTTATATTTTTGTTCTTGGCTATTCTTTACTTAGGTGTGCAGAAAATGCCCAGAAATGCTGCAAGAAAATTGAATAAGAATGTTAAACAACAACACCGTCTTCCATACCTAACACGGTCAACTAGCTGCAGTAGCGAAACCGTTATTATTAATTATAATAAAAAACTTAGAAAACGGAAAACGAAAAAACAATTTCAAACATTCTTAAAAAATTCAACTGAAATCAAAGGCGATATAAAAGCTGTAGAAAAAAATTGCAATAAAAGAAGTGTTAACAGTCAATTTGATATAGAAGAGAAGAAAAATAAGAAGCAGCAATTGAACGATAGAAGAATTATAAAAAGTTTTATACAAGATACAAAATATTCAAAACAGGAAAATAATTCCCTGAGTGAAGAGGGGGAACTTGAAGATTTTCATGGTTTTAATGATCTAAACGAGGACACGGTCTCAGTCGATGCGAAAATTGCCGCTAATGTTGATGAAATTGTTCATAAATTTAATGATATTAATGAATTGAACGTTAATTTAACCGATAAAATAATCAATAGCGTAAGGAAGCATTTAAACGGCTCGCAGATTATCAACAAGGACGACTGCATTATAAAGAGTAGTCATAAAAACTGCGATAATAATAAAATTTTGTGTGATTCTTATAATAAAAGAGACGGAGCAATAATAACAAGAGCAGCAGCAGTAGCAGCAGCAGCAGCGTCAGCAGTAAATTCATTAGCATTTAAGGGGAAATCATCGCCATCAGCAGCAGTAGCAGCAAAAGCAACTGCAGCAGCAGTAGTAACAACAACTAAAACGTACCCATCATCATCAGTTGCTAAAACAATTGAAGCCACCCCATCTGCATTATGTCCCATTGTCATTGAAACTGTAATAACCACTCAAACGGTAGACAACAGTAGTAGTGCTGGTATTGCAACAGCAGCAGTAGATTCCGTTTGTAATTCTTCGAAATCTTTTTCTATTTCTTCTACTGCTGCATTTGTCACTAACGAGGAAAGAAAACACCAGCTCCATCATCACCACCGTCAACGACAACAACAACAACAACAAACCGAACAACAATCGGAATATCAAAAAGATTCTTTAAATAATGGAAAAGTCATTAAAACAATAGCATCAACAATAACGGCAACAACAACAAATAATAAAAAACTTAACCTGAAAAGATCACCTTTTCCCAATCCCAAGGAAGCCAGTGACCGTCTAACGACTTTAAGAAAGAGAAGAATTACAATTGACAACTTTAATAATCTAAGAAGAGAAGAGCAACGGATTCAATCGCCCCACCACCATCAACGGCAACATCAACTACAACGACAAACGGAAAAGCAATGGGAATATCAAGAAAAATCTTTAAATAATGGAAAAGTCGCTAAA